ACTCCGCCACTCCGCCGCTACTCTACTCTACTCTACTCCTCCCACTTTATTATTTATACGTCCAGACATTCACGCACACGACTTAATGCCACGTATGACCTTTTACCGCGGCTCCCTTTCTCCTGTGAAAATCCGTACTCACCTAGCGGTCCGAAGGCCACCAAATTAAATGTATCGTGTATAATACACTCAAGTGTCTGTCATAGTTAAGTTGTGAGAGGGCTGCGATGTTTCACTGACATGTCTGGAGGTATATAATAATCATAAGTAGGTAAGTATTAGATGTTTAGTAGTACCGTATATAGATAGTGTAACGAATGGCGACCGGGTATGAAGAAAGCCGAAACGACCTTAATCAGGATGTTTACTTAGCAACTGACCGCTCTCCACACGTACTTGCCGGGCTTCGTTGGTTGGCCCCGTGTCTGGCTCTCTCGGAACTGATGCCAACAGTTGAGAACAACAATCAACAATGTTCTTTTGTTTCTGTCAACAAAAACTTATCTTAACCAAATTGTACATTATTAATGTTAAAAAGATACAAATATTAAAGCGTCAACTTAATGTTAAATAAGTAACGTTTCAGGTTAGAAACAAATACGAGTACATGTAAAGTAACGCTTTGACGGCTTGCTATACCTAGACGAAACCGTTTTAAATAAATCAACGACTTTTTGAATAACTTCCACATTAACATGTATTACTGTAGAGTAAAGGCGACGCGACGTCGACCCGACGGTAACACGACGGTAACTTTAAAAGACGGTCATAAGTTGGTTAAACACACAATTGTTTAAAATCGTCATGTGGCAAGGAATAAGAGAGGAGCAAGATCTAGATTCACGTGTGAGTCGATGCATGGCAGACCTTGTAAAGGCGACTTTAATTAGATAGGATTTTCGATTGATAGAAACCGTCGGTAGCTCGAAGCAAAAATTAATATAATATTGTAATAATAATCAAAATTTGAGTAGGTTTTTTAAATTAAGAGATTTGTTTGAACATTCAACTTATAACAAAATCAATTTTATCAAATACATAACTAATTTTGAAAGCGTTAATTAACTTTATAAAATTGCTAAAATGGAGCAGAATAAAGCAGAACAGAGCAGAACAGAGTAGAACAGAGTGGAACAGAGCAGAACAGAGCAGAACAGACGCAGGCAGTGAAACTTGATAAACAAACAACTACATTTTTACATTCAAACAGTTCCCATATAACTGCGGTTACAGTTTTTAATCAAATCTTAGATTTTTTTCTAATTTAGTTATTGCAATAATCCTAATTGGGGTAGAACGTTCTTACCGACAAAGTACATAGTAATCGTTGCTATTACCGGCCTTAGATAGTAATAGTAATAGTAATACTTATAGGAATTAATTATTATCGATACTTTTAATACTTTCGTCGTCCTTTATGT